GAAAACGCATGCAGATGTCACATACAGTTGTTACCAAATAAATCAAATCAAATGCCAGCACGCCCAACGCCTCGCACATCACGGTCATTTTTCTTTTGAGAGCATCCATCGATGGCCACACGCCTCACCACTGATTCCCGGGTTGGGAAGCCAATGTTCTATCCCGGCGTGCAAATGTTTTGCGTCTAACACCATGTACACAAACTTGTATTCCAAGGCAAGTGAATTGGTAGATGTTTTCATTATTTTGCAATTACGAGGAATCTAATCTCTCACAAACATAGCAAGACGCAAGACTTCTTTCAAATAAGATTATGCATTTATAATATAACTATCAATAAATAATAAAACTAAAAAAGGAAAAAAGGACCAAGTAAACTAAAAACTTGCTAGGATGATGATAATCAATGAAATGTAAACGATTCGGCAGCAGTCGGCAATCTCTTCAATCGACTCTTTTCGAGAATCGCCGTTGCTTTCTGGAAGGGTCTAAAAACACAAAATTCATCATTTGACATTTGCCAAAAATTGTTCAAGGTGCTTTTTCAAAAAAAAAAAATTCCTATTGAATACTGAAAATAATCGCAAAACTAAAAAATACATTTTTAGCTGATTTAGATGAATTTTCGAATTGTTTATTGAAGACTTAATCATCTGTTTTTATGCACCTGAAAAACTCAACTTATTCAATATTTCTTCAATCCCAGAAGTTTAGAGTCCCCCAAGGATCTTCTCTTAGAGATTCTTTTCTATCTTTTCCCGGAGAGCTAAAAGTCAAATCTAAATATAGAGTGTTACTTATGTACTTTCAGATTCGAGTTCTAATAGCTTTCGATTATTTACTGTACCAAATAAATTACGCCGAATTGCCCCTTCTACTATTAGGGAGATCTCAATATTAGAATAGCAACTTTTCTTAGGGAAAACGAAGTGTCAACGCCGATATAGAAATACAAAAATCTACGGAAACAGACACATTTTTAAAGATTATGCATCATCATTGGATCAAAAAGAAGCACCTAGGGCCGGTTTCACCAACAGGAATCAAGAAGATGATCCCGAGTTGATCCGGATCAACTTCAGTTTGATCCCGTTGTACGTTTCTCCACGCACTTGACACGAATCAACGTGTCTGACTCGGATCAAATTTGACTAGCAATTGATCCGTCGCCGAGCGGTGGATCACGGCCAGATCAGGAGTTATTTCTCGTCTTGGTCATCTAGCTATTCCAGTTTTCCGTATTTTTTAAGTAAATACCTGTAGTTGGACTTAGATTCAGTATGGAAGTATTCGCTAAGAAGTAGGATTGCGCGTAATATTTGTTGAGCAAATGTGTTTTTTTTAGATAGTATTGTAAATAAAAGTAGGGTTAACACAATTGTAGGTTATAATTCTCGGTATTGGGAAGTCAAATTTAAATATATTTTGGCTTCAAATTAGTGTAATTATAAGTATCATTAGTAAAATAGCATTTTGTGATATCTGTATTGCAATTGGCGTGGAATAGTTTTATTGAATACTTTTTTTTAGTGTAGTAATTCTTTCAATTTTTGTTCTTGTTAGGTTAATTTGTGTCGTAAAAATGGAGTATGTTTTCGAATGTGACTCAATAAATATTATTATTATTATTATTATTATTATTATTATTATTATTATTATTATTATTATTAATGAAGTCATTGAAGATTTATTGTGGGGAGAGACACCACGAGTAATTCCCAAAAAAAGCAATTATTTTGAAATGTCAGAACGAGCATTAAAACTTTCTTTGTATTTGCTCATTAAGCTTTCGAGTAATTCTCTTTCAACTGGAGAGAAATTGGGCGTAGTCTATGCATTCTTTCCAACGTCAGATGAATCCATCACCGAAAGAACACTACCACACGCAACAGAACACCACAGACGGAACGAAATGAAATCAAAACAACTACAGCTGACCGCGAGAATACCCACAATGCATTGCAAAATTGTTGCCAACCGCGCATTTTCACGACTGCTCACGAATCATGGGATCCGGATCAACTTCAAAGTCCCAAAACGTTGGTGAAACGCACAGGGATCAAGTCGGCCTTGACTCCGCGGATCAGGATCACGAAACTCGGATCAACTACGAATTTGATCCTGGTTGGTGAAACCGGCCCCTATTGGAATACCTTTTACGCGCTTGGAAAGCATTTGCCGTCATTGGCGAAAAAGTTTTGCTCTCAAAATTACCTTCAAATAGAATTCGTGGCATTGCCTTAAACTGAATATCTTCGCACCTTCAACATCTTTCTGAAAGAATAGGAAAAATCATACTAATATAAAAGAACATTTAGACATTTTTCGATGCTTTACCAACTGATATGAGGGCCCTCGAGGTTCGGTTTTATTTGCAAACCATCTTCCCTCGTCCGTTAGAAGCCTAAGAACAGTTATCTTTGCTGATGATGCGAATATCATTTCGGAGCAATTGCAACGATTTCAGATGCTTTTGTAGTAACAAATTAATAGTAAACGAAGGAAAACCGATTTCAATGCATTTTTTAACGCGCCTCTTAAAAAGAACAATATGCAATTGGCTTAAAGGTAAGATCATTTTTTGAATCTCCCCGTTCAAACATCATATGGAATATTCAAATAAAATTAACACTAAATCCGTTTAATATGTTACACGTCTGAATCGCAACCAATCTTCATAAATGTGGTCTCTAAAGGAAGAATTTCACGGAAACGTGAAGAATTGCACTTTGACATTAAAAATATGAAGGATTTGTTTTTAAATAAAACGTATCTAAATATTCATTTCAAATGCAACCCACAATATTCAGTAAGCACTTTTCAATCTACCGTTAAATAACTCGTCACAATGCGTTCTAGGGACCTAAAACCTAAAATTCTCATATTATCTATAGGATGAGATATTCTTGAAAAGTCTATTACATTTTTGATGGTTCTGAGCTTATATTGAATATCGCTTCGATATTCAATACGTAAACATCGTTTGAACAACATTTCCTTGTACCGAAGTGAAGTCTAATCCTACTGAATTGTTTCCAATGGTAACAATTGATATTTATTACTCACATGTGAAAATATTGGTTTAAACTAATATACACATTTCATTATCAACTTCCCTTCTTAATGTGAAAATGAAAGTCTAGGGAAAGGGTGGAGTTTAGCATGCGAGAGTTGTCGCACGGGTACGCTAGTTCTCTCAAATTCAGTCAGCGTGCATTCAGCTCGTTGCGTGTGTTTTGCAAATGTACATTCCCGACTAAGAGAAACTCGTTTCTAAACAATTGCAACCCACAAACAAAAAACTGACATGACTTAAAATAAATATGAAATTTATTTTAACCATTTTCATTTTTAAAAGTGCAATTTTAAAAGAGTAATATTCTGCATGTAACACGTAATTTACTTCAGCTTCTAGGTCAATGATCCCTATTTTAATCCCTTGATTATGATAAGATGGCCCCTTGCTTCGCTTCTAAATAGTAATTGTAGCTTCAGTATGCGCATGTTTTGTTGAAATCTCTATTTACTATTCGCCAAGAGAAAGGTTGCAAAACAACATTTTCTTAAAAACAGCTTCAAATTTTTCAACGAAAATTTCCTTATATGACAAGGTTTTACTCTATTCTATAATATTCTTAAGTAAAATGAGAAAAAGTTAAAAAAAATGTAGTTTGCGCGACGATAAATGGGAGTTACAAGAGGATGCGGAAAGACTGAAAAGTTAGACCAAAACAAAGAAATTAGAAAACAAACTAGTACGAGAAAGCCTGTACCGTTCTGTAGTACCAATGGTTACTAGTTGCGGGAAGTATGACCAAAGAGTTATTTTATCACAAAACCTCTAGAATCATTTGTAATTCTTTATGTACAGTCAGAGGAGTATCGAGGATCGGGGATCTACAGGTACAGTGCCTATCCGACTTGATGTTTCCTTTGTTTTCGCCTGCCGATGCAAGTACGTTTTCTATTAGACGGGAGTGAACATTTTTAGGATTCATATGTTATAGGTGTTGTGGTAGGATATTTTTGGCATTTTTAAAATAATTAAAGATGTTGTCATTGCCAACAATGTTTTTTAATTCAAAAGCAGCTTTCGATGGCTTAGCCATCATCATCAGTTGTCTGCTAGATGGAAGCCACAGGTAGCTAATCGGAATTCAAAAGTGAATGGTAAAATACTACATTAAGGGTTCTGAAGCTGGAGCAAACATCCGAAGATTTCTAGCTTCTCATCCACAAATCACAAACAATATTGACGGTTTTCTCGATAAAATCCAATCAAATTTGTAAAGTTATCACAAAGTACAAGCTCCGAGATGGCGCCAAAGAACACCATGAGCAAATGTGTAAAGGTACAGGGCCGACAGCCTCCGCGATATTCGAGGAGCGCGAAGATGCTCTTCACTAGCAATGTCCACAGAGACGTAGGTAAACGGGGAAAAATTTTTAACTTTTGCAATTTCGAAAACTTCGGAGTTAACAGTGAAAATCGGATCTTTGGAGCTTTATAAGCGTATTTTACTCTATTCGTGCAAGAATTTCTTTGACTGAATTTTTTAAAAAAACTTTTCAAAAATATCCCAGGGGATTCATGTAAAGTACCACCAAAACTTAAAGAATATTTTTCAGAATCGCAGATCTTTGAGTCAGGTCTGATCAACTGGGGAATACGCATTTGGATTTGGAAAAATTCTACGAATACTTTAGGCGCTAGTGTTGTTCACAGACGGCCGAACGTTTTGAACAAAAACACTTTTTCGGAATCAGGAGCTCCCAAAACAAGCATTTACGTTGAACCTCCAAATCGATTTTCCGCACAATTACATCACTTCGGATATGCCACGTATATCACCGAGAATATGCGTATGTACATGAGAAAGTAAAGTTGTTGTTTCGCTGTCGACCTCGGGTGCGCACGGGCGGAAGGCAGCAGCCGCGTGGGTGTGGGGAGGCGGCGTATAAAAGAGCGCGGGTACCGACTCTCAGCCACACAAGCGCCATGGCCTCCTTCAAGATGTACGCTCTCCTCGTCACCGTGCTGCTGGCTACCTCGGTGAGTCCTCCCCCCCCCCCTGCCACAACCGATCTTTCAGCGCTCGGTACTTTGCACAAAACGAATCGTTTTGAAGTCATTAGGGCGCGGTAAAGGGTGATTTCGTGCTCATTAGTACACGAGACAGCTTTAGCGTAATTTCATTATCACAAGGCTTCGATGATTAAATCATTTTTATATTGGAGTCTAGGTCACTATTTTACATATGGAAAGAATTGAATCTGCCCATGCATATGAATAGCTGAACTTGATTTAATGAAAAAATATACTTCAGTTATATCTAAATTAATTTAAACAAATCTGTCTGTTTTTGTGCACGCACGACAAGGTGCTCATTCATGAGAGATAATAATAAATTGCCGTTGAACGTCCTCTCTCCTATCGCTTGATCTCCCTTCATGCTCGGAGGTTGAGCAGTATTTTAACTTCAATTTCGACTCCCCCCTTAGAACTCATTAAGCAAAAATGACATTTGAGTGAGATTTTTTGTTCAAATATCGAGCTTGAAGGGAATATTGTTTTGTGGTGTGATGGTGATCAATATTGAACAAATTGAGAAAAATACAGAAAAGTTCATAGTCTAAAGCAAGAACGAGTTAGTTTTAATTGCAGTTATGTAAGTGAAATTAACAAGCCACTCCCCAGAAGTGCAAGTAATGTATAGGCGTAAAGGAACAGTATGAAATAGTCATTGATTTGTAGAATAAAAGGAAAAAAGGTAATATATGTTTCTCCTGTTATCAACATTCGACTGACGAGGAGAATATTAAGCGATATTCGTTTCGCAACCAGTAAACCAAAAATATCTCAAACCAGACTTGCATTAAAACCGTACGTAGAGGATTATTACATAAAAAACAGTCAACAACGCAAAGCAATATTTCGGAGGGTAATGTGCCCAATCCCTACCCTGCAATGTGCCGCAGGCGGTGAGCGCGCGTTCCGTGCGCCAAGCGGACGCCACCTCTAACACCACCACCAGCGCCAGCGCCAACGTGACCTTCAACGCGGGAGTGAACGCGACCGGCCTCATCGAGGCTGCCCAGGAGGAGCGCGAGCGGTTCCTGGCGGGGCTGGAGCAACTCGTCAGCAAGGTGAGCCAATTCGCAGCGGGAACATTGGACGCGGTTGACGCTGGTAACCCAGGCGACACTTGCCCTCCCAGAGGGTCTTGATATACATTTCCCTTTGTGATGGGACAACTTGAGGAAATTTCACTTCCCCTTTACCGAATATAACATTGAGATATTTTTGTTCCGCCATTACCATGCCGTGAGGAGATGCAGTGAAACTCGACTGAAGCGATCACCATTGGTTTCCAGCAAAAATGGTCAATAGATGTGCCGTTTAATTAAAGTATGAGGTTACTGGAAGCGTAAAGTAAAGTTGAGTTGACTGTTACAAAATGACGTATGTTGTCTTTAACGACAAAATACAACAAATATAAACAATGTATTTATCATTTACCTCCTTCGGATAATATCAAAACACATCCTTATCTCGGGAGTTATTCTCTTAGCCCGTCCTTGCCGCACCAAACAAGAAAACTGCGCTCGCAGACGCAAATGCCACCGTGTAGAGAGCAACGAGTTGGCTAACCTTAGCTGAGGTCGGGGCGGGCGTTGCAGATTCAGGAGGCGCGCAGCAACGCGTCGGCCGAAGTGGACGCCCGCCTCACCGACACGCTCGCCGCCCTCACGCAGCTGCGCGAGCGCCTGCGCAACGCCACCGCCGACACCATCCAGCGCGCGCAGCAGGACGTGCAGCAGAAGCTGCAGGAGGTGCAGAGCCAGCTGCAGCAGGCCGCCGCCTCCTTCGTCGACGACGCGCAGGTGCGACAAATTCACACAAATCTGCTCATTCAAGTCAGCATCACTGCAAAGGCAAATCCACGCCATTTCAATTGTGTATGAAAACCACGAAATTCCATTGCCAATCAAACATAGCCTAAAATATACACTTTTTTCAGAATTTATAAAATGTCACTTAGATTGTTCAGTTTTCACACATTCAATTAACGCTCGTATAAATCCATCCATATAAATGAAAGGCAATGTTCGTATGTGTGTTCAACAAAAAGTACTCGACCGATTTCGCTGAAGTTTTTACACTTTGTTCTTATTAGGAATGGGGTGTTTAATCGGAGGCATGGGGGTGGTGTTGATTTGTTCGTTTATGGCGAGTCTACATGTGTGTGCGCAGGAGGGCGCCAACGCCACCGTGGAGCGCCTGCGCGCCCTGGCGCAGCAGGGCCAGGAGCTCGCCGCCAACGGCAGCGCAGCGCTGCGCGCGCAGTGGGAAGCCGGTCAGGCGCAGCTGCAGGCGGTGGCACACAACCTCACCGCCAGAGCCAACGAGTCCTTCACACAGGCAAGTCTTCCACACACCAATCCCCTCACATCAGCACCGGAGAGGAAAACCTCAACATTCTCAAATGGTCACGTGCCTCTAAAGGTCCCATACAAATTGGACACGAATTTTAAACGTACCGTTTGGAACGTCGCTGCGTAAACTGCCATATTGCAGAGCCGGATTAGCATTGTTCCCTTGCTCATCAGTGACAATGATTCAGTTACGAGTGCTGAAAACGTTTCGGTGTCATGTAGCCTATATGAAGATACAATCCAAGTCATAAGAAGCAGTATTTCCGTTGCGGTAAATTTTTGACTCAAAGCTAGGTCTTGATGTTAAAAGGTAGGTTTTACTTGTGACCTACAATTCAAACGAGAACTGGGAATTACAGTTTTTGTAAGGAAATTAAAAATTGTATAATATACACGACAGGGAAAATTGTATAACACGCAAGGAAATACAACTTTTTTGTTTTATTCCTTTTCTAAGTATATCTGCTTTTGAATTGATGTGGTATATTGTGATATATTTGCACTAAAGAACAAAAGGTCGTTAGCAAGCTTGTTCTTTAGAAATGTTTGCCCCTAGAGCATCCCAATCCTCCCAATGCTTTCACGAGGATTAAAGCGAGAATTAATATAAATGGTCCTACTGCAGATTCTTCCCGCGAGGAGCGCACTTCACAAGCGAGCGCCGGCGCGAGAACGTAGATCGAAAGAAAAAGAATAACATGGATTGAATCCTGTAGTCGTTGCCTCGAAATATTTTTATCGGTACCGGTCATCGGGCGCTAGCCCCTAATCTACCGCTTAACAAATCCCTTTTTGAGAAACTGGTGTTATACAAAAACTGGTTAAGTGAACAGAAAATTTAGAAAAGACTACTATAATAGTTAATACTGAGATGTAGCCCGTATGTTACATCCAATGAACATTTTACTTGTAAGAACTTAACATATCATTTGAAACTACTATTTACGACTATTTATAAATGCTGGGCGCGATGTCGCTGCGCAGGCGGTGAAGCAGGCCGAGGCGCTCGTGCAGCAGGGCCGCGACCAGCTGCAGCACATCGCCAACTCCACCAGCGCCCTCTCCGCCGACGCGCGGGCCAAGGTCAGTCGACAACCATTTGTTTCGCTTTCAATTCAATTCAACCACTCCCCCGTGGATCACACTCACTCTCTACTGGTTTTTTACGAAATCGATCAAACCATTTCTTTCCATTTGCGCACTAAAACTCTCCTAGGAAGCAGCAGTTCAAACCCTTCCGTATTTTGACACGCAAAGTTTCACCGGAAACCAATACCGGTCAGAAGCGCTTTGACGTCCATCTTGCGTTCCCTATACGGAATGTAATATCCTAGAATAGAAGGCCAATGCCCGACTATTTTCCTATCTCCAAATGACTAGTCACCAAACTACAGGCTGGAAATATAAAATTTATTAGATGTTATGTGACACACTGGTTTAATAAATAGCCTTTTCTAGGAAATGAAGTAATATAGCCAGATGCAATTGCTATGCTGCTAGTAGTTTTGTTGTACAGCTCTGACCTACTATTCCTTCGCCATTGAATCTACACGAAAGCTTTTGGAAAAAATATTCAAGAAAATTTACGAATAAGCTCTAACTTCACCATTCACTATGAACTTCAAGAATTTACTTATGAAAAGATATTCCGGTTTTTTTATTTTTTCTGGCGTAAGTCATACAAGTAGCCAACCAAGTAAGACATATTGTAACTCAAAAGGTTAATAGAATCAAGGCATTTTAATACTAAAGATCACGTCAGAAAATACACCTCAATACAACGTTCAACAGTATTTCAAACTTTGCGCACACCAAAACGGCCTATCGTTCCTTCGAGGGGCTCCATCGTTGCTTATAACGCTACGTCACCTCCGAAAATCCCTAGCATTTTGATAAAAACGTTGTAGTCAGGCGATTTCTTGCTTTCGCTTTTCTTGATTTTCGTTTCATTGGGGTGGGGTACGAGTAAGTTTTCATAGGAGTGCTAGTAACGAAAAAGGCACATTTTCTTGCATAACTATACGTACTAACCACACACTAACCACACAACACACCACATAATATAAAACCACAAAACAATCTCGATTGTTGTAACTGCCCTGGCAAGACATAGTACTGAGATTGGCAACTGCAATATGCAATAAGAAACCATGTGCCAATTACCAGCGTTCCTTATACGAAAGAAAATTCACCGTCGTGAATTTCCTTTCATGCAAACACAACAAACGGACACCTTAACAAAATGACACGAAAGGAACCGTACAAACAACTCTTTAACCTAAAAGAACGAATTTCCGCTTCCTACTTTGTAATTCCGTTCCTAACCCGCGTGGCGACTATGTTCCCTCCTTTTTGGAAACCTACCACCGACGGGGTCTGGAGACATTCATCGAGCAGGCGCACTTGGCGAGTGGTCCCCTAAACGCGCCACTTTCTTCGCCAGATGTCGGTCTTAGTCCCTAGCCCCAGGGCAGGCCCACGGACATAGTCACAGTCCGCCTTTCGGTGTGCTCATCTCAAGCCTCGTCTGGCGTTTGCATCTGTCGCAGCTGGAAGCGCAGGCCCAGGCCCTCATTCAGCAAGGCCAGAGCCTGGCGGCCAACGCGTCCTCGCAGTGGAACCAGCTGCAAGGCCAGGTGAGCAACGCCACTCAACGCGTGGCGCAGGAGGTGGCCGCGGCCATCGCCAACGGCACCGGCACGGCCGCCTCCATCGGCAGCACCGTGCAGCAGCTCGGCCACGACATCGTCGGCAACATCGCCCAACAGTTCACCAACAGCATCACCACCGGCATCTCCAACGCCATCAAGGCGGGGCAGGCCGCCGTCACCAACTTCCAGAACAGTATCGTCGCCGGTATGCAGGCAGCTGCCAACCTGCAGCACCAGCTCCAGCAGCAGGCCACCGACGCCATCCACAACGGCCTCTCGGTGCGTACGTCGAGGGTGGGGATGAACTCTTTCATTTAAATGTTATTGAAGTATGTATTTTTACTTTCTTCCTACAGAACACGAGGAGTTCCTCGTTTCCTGTTACTCATTTAGACTTTTCTTGGTCAGAAAGTTTCAACTCGTGGTCTTCACGAACTCAAAATTATATGAACCTGTTCCTGATTCAATATCTAAGTTGATGGTGAGGACCTGATCTGCGCAAGGTCTTAAAGATTCCCCATGGGAGCTGACAGCAGAACAAAATAAACGCTAAAGTTTCCCTGATCCCGTGCTGCAGCGTCTGATATTTTAAAAACTTAATTTCCAATTTTCTGGAAATTGCTGTAAGCTTACACAATTAGATGACAGCTGATATGGAAGGGTCGGAGAAAATATTTTCTTGTTTGTCTTTTTAATTATGATCTCCGCGTGCTTGCAGATCTTCGGGTCCCTCTTCCCCAGAGTGTCAGTAGGAGGTTCCACCAGCGGCAGCGTCGGTGGTTCCACCGGCGGCTCCTTCAGGCTCTTCGGCCGCTGAGCATAGCGCCAACCTCGCGCATGCGCTCTTGTACCCTTTTGACAATACACTTCCTTTCTAAGTGAACTACTTGCGTCGCCTTTATTACGATCCTCGCCAACGTTTCTCTCCTCAACGGATGGGAAATGAAAGGCGGTAAAGCATGTAAATGTGGTTAAGAAGCGCGGGAGACAGAACTTGGAGAGAACCCACCGCCACCTCACGAACATTCCACTTGGTTTGAACACCTGAACCCAGCTGCGGGAACTGCTCTTGCTCTGGTTTTCTCCTCCCATTCCCCACCAACAGTACCTTTTCCCATTGCAACCACTTCCATATGGCAAGACCTGCAAAACAAACATCCCATTACCCTTTCCATTTTCCTTCCTGAAAGGAATGTCATTCAATGTCCTTGAGATATATTCAACGTTTCTAAGCACATGATTGCTACAAAGCACCATCAAAAGCAATTTATACTTAAAAAGTTGGTGTTAAATAAGTGTGCTGTTTTCAAGACATTTCATGAGGGTTTTCGTTTTTATGGTTGAAATATATTTAAATACAATTATCATTATTACATACACAAAAATCTAGTGAGAGGTGGACCACTAGTTGTCAAGTGATTGCACCCAGACCGAAAGTTCGAAGTTGGATGTAAACGAAAGTACAGTAAGTCCTTCAGCTGGCAACAGCTCGCCGATAGTAATTTTGACCATCCTTGGGCGGCGTAGAGGGCGGTGGGCCACCGCCACCGCCCTCTGTGAGCACTGCGTAGGGTGACTAGTCGAGTGTTGGCGTCGCGGCGTGCTTCTCTGCCCCACTGCACCGTCAGAGACTTTCGTAGCTTCCGTTGCAGAAACCCTAAGAACTCCCGCTCAGATACGCTGCTGTGGAAACACTTTTTGCCTTGTGTGCGACTTGATTGCTGCCTTCCCACAATCCAAAGTTATTGCAGTAAACGACATCAAACCACTTTCGTAGAGTAAAAGTCACTTAGAGATGCTGATCAATTTTTCCACGCTAACAAAACCATTGGTTCCAATGCATTTCTTTTAACTGGTGACGTTAGCCTAGTTAGTCGTGATTCAGCAATTGAAGTTCCAACTCAAGTTCAAGTGAAGATTTGAGTCCAAACAGTTGCGTATTTTCGACACTAGGAAGTCAACATCGACTTTTTCGACAAAAACGGCAGGTCCAGTGATTCACGAGACTTACTTGCAAGGTATTTTCAATAAATGCAACGACAAGCACTATTGCGGCACGATTTCTTGGCACCTAATCGACCTAAAAACGGGGTGGGTCGCCTCCCAGAACTGAGACAGCATTGAGTATGTTTTTCCCTAATATTTCGAGGTATTTTTTTCAGAGGCCCATAATAGCTCATTGGTCAGCGGGCTCACTTTCCATGACGCGATCGCGGGTTCGATTCCCGGTCGGGCACTTATAGTGCGTGTTTTCCTTGCAATGTCCCAGAATACGTTGTGAGACGACGAGGTTGAGAACACCAGAACACGGCGTAGTGATGTCTATGTGCTTACCACACGTACCCGAAAGCCCGGAAGGCGGCTGGTAGGCCCAGTCTTCGCCAGGGGCTATTGCACCACAACACATGTCAGTGAGCAGGCCAAGCCGGGCGTAGGTGAGGGGGGGGGGGCTGGGCTCAGGTCAGCAGGGGCTGCACCGTCGCCTGTCGCTGTCGCCCGCCCGCTCAACGCTCCTCCTAGACACAGGCACCACTGCGACTGGGCAGCGCAGTCGAGCAGCCAATAAGCGGTTTTACTTTTCTCAACACTGTCGCCAATTCGCTTCTGCGAGACACAATTGGTCAGATTTAACTTAATTGTTAAAATTTAATATTGTTAAAAGTATTGAGATGATGCATTCCACTAATTTTCCCCTCTCTACATAAAACAGAACATTTCTGGGTTCATAACATTCTTCCGTATCATCCAGCAATCTATATTCTCTCATGATTCCAACATAGTATCTTCTAAGCTTTTCATACCATTTAAAGCATTGCCGTAGATTGGACATAAATTATTTAACTCCCCAGAACTGCGGGTTCAGTCATGAACGGCAGTGACACTGAGAAATATGCACAGGGAAGACTGCAAATTGTAGCTTGAATTTATTTCTAAAATTTAAAGTGCTTACCAAAATGCATATACATGTCATTATAGTCGCGGTCTTTCTCCATAAAACACACCGATTTGGAAAAAATGCAATTGACTTAGCATTTCCCCCTAAAGGTTAGACAACATATGTAAATTGAAATAATTATAGGAGTTGTCATCGCCAACAATATTATTGTCATAGCCACTTTCGATGGCTTAGCCATCAGCACCAGTTTTTACTGTACGGAAGCCACAAAACGACCACGCGGGTTTGGACGAAGTGAAGGCTCTCTTCTCCAAAGGCGTCAGTCGCAAGGGCTACTAAAGGGAATTTTCCCGGTACTTGAGCTGCTTGGCCCGTCCAAACAGCGCAGTCGTTGCGTAGCTTCCATACTGCAGATACTGATGATGAAGCCATCGAAAGCAGCTATTGAAATAAATACTATTGTTGGCAATGAGAACTATATTTTTTTTCATTGTAAATGCCAATTGCAACTCGCCGCAAAACCAAAAAACAAGTGAAACCATTGACGCCTATTGCGCGGCCGCATAGTTTTCCTTGGATTTGTGCACTGGGGCGGCGGCG